TCTCCACAGTACATGGATTGTTAGATGATATGATACACAAAACATTATTATCAGTAGTAGAAGTAGCAGTAGTATTATACTCACTGATAAATGAAAATACGTGTAAAGCCTCAGAATGGTTTATGTCAAGAAAACTTCATACATTTTGAAGTTCTGCCAAGAGGTATGAACAAATAATATCTTACTTGCTGTAGGTAAGTCTTTGAACAACCTCCCTGCTAAAAAAAAAAAAAAAAAAAGGAGTTTAATTCTGATAGGAACAGCAAGTTAATGGCTAGTCCATACATGACAGAGTGGAGGCCGGGCTTCCATATAAAAACAGCTCAAATCTCCAAAAACTCAAAGTATCTTATTTGAAAGCAAATCCACAAAATGAACCACAGTTGAATTTGTAATTAATAGTTAATGGGGGATTAATTAATAGTTTGGGGGAGTGGTGGCACAAAGATTAGAGAAGGTGGGCCTGTGATCGGAAGCTCGCCGGTTCAAGCCCCGGAACCGCCCCGGAACCGCCCCGGTTTTCTCTAGGTACTCCAGTTTCCTCCCCCAAATCAAAAACATTCATGTTAGGCTAACTGCTAACTTTAAATTATCCCTATGTGTGTGTGAGAGAGTGAATGGTTGTTTATCTCGTTTGTCTCTATGTGACCTTGTGATGGACTGGAGACCTGTCCAGGGTGTACCCCACCTCTCGCACATTGATGGCTGGATACCCTGAGACCCGAAAAGGAAGAAGCGGGTAAATATAATGGATGGATGGCTCTAAACCTCATACATTTGAATGAGAAGAAGACAGGCGTTATGTTTTTTGGAACATCCACTAACACCCCGCATGCAGATCTGCATTCCTTGGCACATAACTAAGCCAGTGAAGACAAACCTGGGGGTTATATTGGACATCCATCCATCCACCCATCATCTTCCGCTTGTTCTGAAGTTGGGTCATGGGGGCAGCAGCTTGAGCAGGGAGGTCTAGACATCTATTTCCACAGCCACCTCCTCCAGCTCTTCTGGGAGAACCCCAAGGTGTTCCCAGGCCAACCGAGAGACATAGTCTCTCTAGCATGTCCTGGGTCTTCCCTGGGGTCTCTTCGCAGCTGGACATGCTCGAAGCACCTCCCTAGGGAGGCACCCAGGGAACATCCTTACCAGATGTCCGTACCACCTCAACTGGCTCCTCTCAATATGGAGGAGCAGCAGTTCTACTCCGAGTCTCTCCTGTATAACTGAACTTCTCGCCCTATCTCTAAGAGAATCCAGCTACTCTGCAGAGGAACTCATTTCAACCGCCTGTATCCGCAATCTTATTTTTTCAGTCACTACCCAGAGCTCGTGACCATAGGTGAGGGTAGGAATGTACTGACTGGGAAACAGAGAATTTTGTCATACAGCTCAGCTCCTTCTTCACCACAATGGACCGGCACAGATTCCGCAATACTGCAGATGCTGCACCAATCCATCTGCCAATATCACGCTTCATTCTTCCCTCACTTGTGAACAAAACCCAGAGATACTTGAACTCCTCCACTTGAGGCAGAACCTCACCCTCGACCTGAAGAGAGCAATCCACCCTTTTCGGGTTGAGGACCATGGCCTCAGATTTGGAGGTGCTGATTCTCATCCCTGCTGCTTCACACTCGGTTGCAAACCTCTCCTGTGAGAGCTGAAGATCACGGCACGATGACACCAACAGGACCACATCATCTGCAAAGAGCAGAGATGGAATCTTGAGGTCACTGAACTGGAATCCCTCTGCCCCTCTGCTGGTATGGTATGGTATGGTATGGTATGGTATGGTATGGTATGGTATG